CAGCAAGTCAAGCGCTGGCCAACAATTTAAAATTTATGATGTGTGAGCTTGTAAAAACCTAATTTACTGTCGCATAATTAAAGGCAAAGTGTGCGTGCTTTACACACACATGTGTTTCTGTGTGTTTGCCTATCTGTGAGAATATTCAAATATTGGGAATATTTATATCCACACAAACCCACACATACGTATATATTTTATGTAGAGGAAGCAGTGAGTTGGGCAACAACAACAACAGCATTTATTGGAGTCGCGCTTACATTAAATCATTAAATGCTGCCACGTAAGCTCAAATTTAATTGTTATTAACAATCAGCAATTTTTTTTTATCATCATCATACCCCCCTCACCTTTGTGTGAGATGTGTTGTGGGGTCAGATTCATACCAACTTGCGGTGGTGAATTGGGCTGAATTGTGAACTGTTCTGGATGTTGACCATTTATCGTGTATTTTTCGTGGCTTTGTTTCATCTGTCGACGCTCGACGCTTCACCATTCATTTTCATTTACATATTTCGTTTGGGTTTTCTGTTTGCTTTATGAATTTAAATTGTCATTAATTAACTTTGCTCATGTTGCTCACGTATACACAGCCCTCAAATTATTACACACAGACGCCCCATTGTCCAGTAGCGAAAGCAACAATTACAAAAAACAGCATATATGGACATGAACATGAGCAGCTGACCATCCATTATGTTCATGCCCACACCGGTGCCAACTCAATTACAGTTTGTAAACTTTTCAATTAGCCATAAATAGTTTATTTGTATATTTTTCATGCGATTCATCGATGGCCGGGAACGGGAGCAGCTTGGCATGACGCTGCATATGTGTAAGGGCTTAATTGAAAGTTGCCCTGCTGCTCGACCTGACGGTCGTCGTCCCCCTCCCTCGCTCCACGAAACCCATCAGTTTATCGTGCGTGTCATTAATACAGTTGTGCGTTAGTCGCGTCTCCATTGCAACTCATTTTCATGCGATGCAACAGTGCGTATGATTGTTATTTACATCCATATACCATCGACAACACCGTCAGACAACAAGCATTATTATCGAATGCAAATTTTATGACCCACTCGTGCACTCTCTTTTCTTTTGCCCTGTGTGAGTGGGCAACTGTGTTCCTTCTGTTTATTTTCTCAGCATCTTTTGTCGTAGCCAAGCTGCACAGTTCTTAAAATTGCTTTCGTCTTTCTACTGCACACTTTTTCAGACAGCAAGAAATGCTGCTTGAAGATTACGTATACGACATGTTGTTCTGCTTTTATATACATTAGATATTTAAGACTCCATTTTAATTTTCTTAGCTCTAAAAATTATCTTTGAATACCATAATAACAAATAATCAATAGCATATTGGGACCTGCTCTTTAAAAGAAGGCTCCACACAATGAGGCAATGCAGTCTCAAACTTAAACACAAATCAGCCGCAGGACCAGAGTCGCATTGAGCCTGACTGAAAAAGGCAAACCTTTTTTTTTTGTTGGCTGTTTCAATTTTTTTTTTCTGTGCTATTCAGTTTTGGCTGCAGCTGCATGCTGCTTCAGGGCCTTATTCTCTGTGTTTCCGGCCGTAGTCGACTCGTCGCCATCTTCCTTTTCAATTATGCCTCCTGCCTTTAGTCCAGGTGCGGGGGTAGGTGGGTGGCTGTTTGGGTATTTGGGGCCCGACGGCACCGCTCGCCGTTGAGTGAATGTCGATTGATGTCGATTTTGCTCATTGCACTGAGGTAGTTTCTCGTTTTCACACCATCAAACAGCGTTTGTTGCGATTTGTTACAATTTCGCTACTCGTTGCAGAACAATGCTCTTGCCCCAGCAACAACAACAACTGCCTGTGGAAGGCAGAGCGAAATTGAGTTGCTCAGGGCGAACGTCAAAAAATCCACCAAATTTTCGTTTTGCGTGTTTTCAGTAGATTTCATATTTTCAGCTTGTCGATTTTTTTCTGCTTCTACTTCAGTTTCTGTTTTTTATTTTGCTAGTTTGTTATTATTTTTTGTATTTTTTTTCAATTTTTGCTGCTCGTTGACAACGTCATCATGCATGATAGATAGTTTTACATATTTTCAGTGCCGTCGTTTTTACCGGCAGCTGCCCAGCGGCACTTGATTTGTTGTTTGTCTTGTGCAGCACGTTTCCGGCGGTTCAGTACACTTTTATTTAGTTTTGCTAATACCCTAACCGAGTTTACGTATAAATGGTATATGGGCAAACAGATAGGTTAGCAGTCGTGATTGCAGAACCCGTTGACACTCAATAAATAAATGACTACTACAACACTAATAGACGCCATGTCAGGGCATCTGGTGCAGGTATGTCTAGGTCGTGTCATTTGTAGCAAGATACTTCTTGATATTTATGGTGAACATCGCACGGTCGGCACTTGTCCATTGATTTTTAATAAATTTGTGAGCTGCCAAAAGGTTGAGAGAGGCCAAAAGGGCCGCGCACTTTGCCTTGCCAATGCTTGCATAATTTCGTTTCAACTTCATTTCCGTTGCAAACTAATCAAAAAGTGTAATTTCCGATTAGTTGTATTCAGTATCGAGTGCTGCGCCGCCCCGACTCAACTGCAGTCAAGACCCAGCCCCAGACCCAGACCCAACTTCAGCCCTGTCCACGCGAATCGAGACGAGCCGATCCCTCTCGTAGTCGCCATGCCTTTTGCTTCAAGTTGGCCTGAATGGCCGGCCTGTTTGCCAACGATGGATTGTTGGGATCTGTGCCTATTTTTCATTAAATTTTTTTTTTCTTCCACATTGTTATAAATTGGCACATTGACCCATGCAGGTTAGCGGAGAGTTAAAGCTGCGGTTAGTTGAACAGCAACAAGAATGGTGTTTTCAGAGGAAGGTCTGAAGGGTCTTCGTAGTGCGACTGGGTCGGGTAATGACCCTTTTATGCTGTAAGTTATTAGTAAGGGACTAGTGAATACAGTTAACAGTTATGTGCGGTGGCAAGCTCCACTGATAAATGTAATAACATGTGAGCGTCGGAAGGACATTTAGTGACGTTCTGTCGTAAAAATAGACAAAACAAACACTTAAGTGTAGCCTTAGTAAATGTGAAGCTAAACAACTTACTAAAAAAAACAGGTTTACCATTGAGTTATGCTTTTTTTTACTACTAATATGCTTACCAACTAATTGCTTCATACATTTGCGAGATGACATGGACACTGCATGTACTGCATACTTTTCTCGGAAATATCCATTTACCAATTACGATGCTCTTCAGCAAATACATCATTATTTCGACTCAACTAGTTTTGTAAGCTTACTCAAGATATTGCATACACTCTCATCATTATTTTTTATACATTCATCTTCTCAGTATTCTCAATACAGTTTCTTGTTTCTCGAGTCATAAAAATCGTTTCGTTCTGTTCGTTGTCAATGCTTTACCTATCTCTCTTTATAAAAAAACCTTAAATTAAAGCTTTTTGCAAACTTTAAATGCAGCTAGACTTAAATTTCACCAGTGAAAAACGCAAATTCCTGTGGCAACTGGCAACTGGCAACTGCCATTTGGGCAATTGGCATTGTCGTTGGCTATCTCTTGTCATATTCTGTTTGCTTATTTAGCGAGTGCGGTAAATACTACAAACGCACACAACAACAAACAAGAAAAAACCACAGAAAATAAAAAAAATAAACCTAAAACTGTGCAGCAACGGTTGCAACATTTCATTTGCATATGAACCACACTGACTCCTCCACACACACACACACACACACACATGTAGACACAGGCACACACCATAGAAAATCTGCACATTAACAGGTGTTGAGTAAGCACCAGCTAGACAGTCAACCTCTGCCTGTAGCAACGATATTTTTTTATTTATTTTTTTGTTAAAAAGCATGTGGTATGGCAGCAAATTTGTTTGCTTTTGTTTATAAAAATTTAAGGTACTTTGGACAGATGTGCAACGGGTTTGCGCCGAAATCCCTAAAATGCTCTCGGCCGGCAGCCTAAAATCCCATTTGTGCGCCCCTGTTGCAGCAATGCAGGCGGAGCCACTTTATTTATGCAAAAATAACAGACAAACACCAAGCTGGTGAACCAGAAGCAACAACAACCACAAAAGACAACTGTTGTCTATGTGAGTTTGTGTGATGGGCTTGAACCTGGACCGGACCGGACTGGACCGGACCGGACATTGTCGCCGTGTGGATTATTCCCAGTCGTTGCAAGAGTGCAATGAATGAATTTATGCGCCATGCTATTGCCGCGATCCCCCCCTGCCCCCGCTCTTTTGCTCTCTCTTCATTCCTCGTCCGGCAGCGTTGGTGTCCGTCCAGTGCCGCTTAACTGGGCAAAATGTATACAAATGCCACAACGTTTGCCGTGTTATCAGTTCTTTTATTTGGCTCGTTCACTGTGCAACTGCTGTGCGGTGATTTGGCCTAAAGAGAGAGAGAGAGAGAGAGAGAGAGAGAGAGAGAGAGGGAGACAACGAAATGGAGGAAAAGAGAACAGTTGGGAATATTGTGCTCGGAATCTGGCAACTGCAAAATACTCTGTTCCCAGCATGAACAAAAATATTATTTTTCACAAAGTGAAATGACGGCGAAAAAAATGTTTTATGTGTGTAGAATATTATTAGCTATCCATCAATCCGAGTATCTTGACACTAGCTTTCATAAATTCGGAGGTATTAAGTTGCGAAATATTTTAAAGGGAGTTCGTTTTAAGAAAAACACAATCCTATAGATTTCGAGTGAAAAAAACTGCGAAAAAAATTTGCAAGTATTTTGGCAGCCTTTTTCTCTTTGAAAGCAGAGTATAAAATGCGAAAATTAAGCAACGCATGGAAGCGGAAGTGCAGACAACGAACGCCGCCATTGCTCTTAAGTAAACCGCAGCTGTTAATATTTTAAGCGGCTTAATAATTAGTTTGCCCCACCCCTGCACCCCGCACTTATCACTCTCTCTATATATATATATACATATGCATTTTATATTACAACTAGTTTTCTCTCTTTCTTGCAGCCAAAGCCTCGAAAGTCATTCATTTGCGCAACATTCCAAACGAATCTGGTGAATCGGACGTAGTTGCACTGGGCATACCGTTTGGACGTGTGACAAATGTGCTCGTGCTGAAGGGCAAGAATCAAGCATTTATCGAGATGGCCGACGAGATATCCGCCACATCGATGGTGTCCTGTTATACAGTGAATCCACCACAGATGCGCGGCCGCATGGTCTATGTGCAGTTCTCCAATCATCGCGAGCTAAAAACGGATCAGAGTCATAATGTAAGTGTGTGCACACAAAACGCAATATAAAACTAAGTTAAGACCAAGTCCTTAAGCCAGAGCTTATAAGTAGTATCTAAATCTGTTTGGACTTAAGTGTTATTAATGTGGCAATTAAGTTTCGGTCAGAGGCAAACAACGATTTATATGCAAATGTTGCTGCTGTCTCGTTATTATGTGGGTCGCTCTCTGATTAATTACAGACTCTGAGTCAACTTAATTCCCTAGACGCACACACACGTACCACTCAAACACTCACACACACACACACACAGAAACACACACACATTCAAACAGACACAACACATATGTTTTAGCCATTCATAAATGCTAAGGGATATTTGTCAGTGACGGTCCAAACCAATTTCTAATTTTAATTTCGTAAGCCACAAAGTCACTGCTAAAGTTTAAAAAGCTTTCAAATAAATACATAAACCACTCACACACACAAACAAATACAACTACAAATCCAAATCCAAATACAGAATCGGAGACCAATGTACAGATATACAGAGATATATGTATATATATGTACATGGCTACAAATGTCTGACACACATGCCTGACAAAAGCAGTGAAATGCATAGTTTTTGGGGTTTTGTGGCCAAAATTCACACACACACACACACACACACAGCGCAAACCAACTATACACAAATAAAACCCACAAGCCTCTCACCACACACACACACACACATACACATACACTGACATATATAAGGATGTAAGAGCAGACAAACGGACGGCAGCTGCTTATCACAAAGTCAAAGGCATATTTTGATTACTTAAATGAAAGCAGCAGCAGCAGCAACAACAACAGAAACAGCAACAGCAATAAAGTGCGCAGCGTTGTTGTTGCTACCATCCAAAAATACCCAAAACGACGTTGTCACCTTTTCCATGTGTGTGTATGTGTGTGTGTGTGTGTCTGTGTGTATATATATGTATTCGCTGCTGACTGCTCTTGCCGCACAGCTTTTGCCTCGTAACCCAAAAATGACCCCAAGCAAAACTACTTAAAAAGAGATCGTCAGTCATGTGCTGCAACAACAACAACAACAACAACAAAAGAAGGTTAAGAGGCTGCAGCAACTGAGCAGCAGCATCAGCAGCAACAGCAACAACAACAACAACAACATTAACAACAGTTGTAGGCGTGCCTATGAATAAGGTGACATCAACAACAGCAACAGCAACAACAACGCGAGCCCAAACAATACAGTTACATTTCACTGATTACCTTTTGGCTGTGCCACAGCGTGCGTGGGTGTGGCCAGATTTCTCTTGTTAACTACTAATCCCGGTAAAAGGCCTTGTTGCTGCTGCTGCTGCTGCTGCTGCTGCTGTTACTCCCAACCCCAATGACAACACTCAGACAACGCAGACGAGTGGAAAAGTCAACGCTGCTGTCGTTGCTGTTGCTCTAGTGGCAAATCTCTTAAAATGCATGAGTGTATGTTGTGTGTATGAGCTTAATCTTGTGTGTAGAGCTACTTTTTGTTGTAGTTGTCGTTGTTGCTGTTGTTGCTGTTGCTGCTGTTGCTGCTGCCGCCTGCCCAACATATTTATACAATTTCTCATTTCATTCACTTTTCTTTTGCTGTTTTCTCTATTTTTTATGTTTTTTTTTTTTCTTTTGCTGCTGTTGTGTGGGTGCCGTGCCTTGTGCCCTGCTGCCCATTGTCAGCACAACTCTGTGTGTGTGTGTGTAAGTGTGTGGATGTGTATGTTTTTGTTTTGTCTCGTTGTGCAACTGCTGTTTGGCCTCACATTTTAACAACTGTCTTCATTGGCTTTTGTATGGTGCCGGTCCTTGTCCCCACCTGGCGCTAACCATTGCTCTGATTGTTCAACGTCTTTGGTGTGCCCTGAATGCGACGGCTGTCAGTCTCAGTTCTTGAGTTCTGCTTTCGTTTTTAGCGCCGCTGCAACGTGCAAAGTTTCAGATAAGATGCTCAGCGCGCAGTGCTGTTAGAAAAAAACAGCTTAAGAAGTCAAAAGCGAATACAGAAGCGGCAGCGGCAGCAGCAGCAGCAGGAGGAGTAAGAGCAACAGCTGACGTCCGCGTGCGTCAAATTATAGTGGAGTGCTGGTCCGCACTTTAAGCTGTGTCTGTGTGTGTGCGTGTGTGTGGTTGTGTAATAATTGTGTTAGCAACTTGGTCAGCGTAACTCGTATAACAGCAAAATTGTCAAATTGATGGCGATGTTGATGTTCAATATATGTGGCTAGAGTCAGGGCCATTGGCGATGAGAAACCCCATATAAGTATGCTTTAAAATACTCCTGTGTATGGCAGAGCCTTTAAAGTTTCCAGGGCAGGCAGGACACAAATCCATTGCATGCCTTAAGGGATTTAACCTCACGCTCACCTGAAAGCAAAGCTGCGACGACAACAGCAACATCAGCAGCAACAACAGCAGAAAATCAGCAATACAGGATTTTCAAATCATCTGCTCACACACACATACCACACACACACACACACACACACACACACAAGAGGAATACGCACACGTACACACATTTGCAGATTTCAACGCCTGAGTGATTGCGTCGCATAGAGAAACACAAAAAAAAAAGAAAATGAAAAAAAAAAACAAAAGAAAATAGAAATAAAACAAAAGTAAGAAAACGAGCATACAAAAACCGAGTTGGCAGCATCAGAAATGAAAAACCTTGTAGCCAACCTGCTGCTGCTTCTACTGCTGTTGCTGTTGCTGTTGCTGCCGCGCCGCTGACATTTATGTTGGCAATTTGGCAGTCAGGCAGCGTGGCTCTGATGGCATGGCAAAGCAGAGCAAAGCCGAGATGTATGTAACAGGATTCTAATATGTCATGTCGGTTGGGACGTCCTCTCACCTATGTCGTTTTACTCCCCAGTGCTCAGTTCGACTACTACGACTACTACTACTACTGCTACTCCAGGCACTTCAGGCAACAGTTGTTGTGACTATTTTCGTTGCTATTTACGTTGATGTCTTCTTCTTCATGCTCAATGCTTGAGCTTCTTAGAGGCGCCTTCTCCACGCCACGCCACGCCACGCACGTCACTCGCTTCAGCGACCTGGCCACAGGGGTTGCGACAGGCACAGGGAGAGGAGCACACAACACCCTTGACTAGGATGCGGATGCTTCTTAGAAATGAAGATAAATGCACTGGAAGTTCACGCGGTTACAGCCACAGCACAAGCTGGCCACAAAATCCACATAGAATCCCAAAGCCCCAAGTGGCCCCTTGTCTCTCAGCCACGCCCCCACACCATTGTCTCTTATATTGCTTAGTGGCTCGGCTCAAATTTGACATGTGATTGTTTTGTCTCTGTCTCTGTTTCTGTATCTGTCTTTATCTGTAGCTGTTGCCGTTGCCGTTGCCATTGCTGCGCATCTGCCGACTCTGACTCTATTTATATATGAGCGCGTGTGTTTGTAATTTTGATAAATTAATTTTTTTGGCCGATCCCCAACAAGCGAAAAAGGGTTGACATCCACTTGGGACCAGGTTCGGTACCGTGCTCTCAACTCAACTGCCGCAAAACAAAACGAAATTGATTGAAATTTAATTTAAAAACAAAATCCCACGGACACAACGGACGGAACGGAACGGCACGGAACGGAGCGAAGCGAGCGAAAGACTTGTCTCTTGTGTAACATTTGCGTTCACGCCTAAGAGGCGTCAATGCATTCATTATATTTAAAAAACAAATGATGGCCACAAACACACAAAAACACACACACAGTGGCACACACAGTGGCATACACAGTCACAAAGATTTACAGAGGCATCAGAAAGCTTTCTAATGGATAAGGTGTAGCAAACGGTTGCCTTTAATTTCCGTAATCATCATAATTGGCACTTTTACGGCTGCAAACATCAGCCCCTTCAAACAGGACACAGAGAACGAACGAAAGGATATTTGCAGAATGTTACAGTTCAATCGAGCTGTTTACGTCAGTCGTGTCAGCACTTGCACTTGCACCATCACTTGCAATGGTTGCCACACGCCCCACAACGCACTGATTGCAGGCAGTAAAAATATAACTGGAATTGGATGTGTTGTGTATGTGTTGGTGTTGGTTCATGTGACTCTGTTGTGCTGGCCATTGGAGCAGGTGTTGGTTTTTCACACTGTGATAAGGTTACCTTGTAATCAAATTAAATTGCCGACCACAGCAAAGAAATAAAGCCCGATGGCTACCAATCGATCATCGCTCCCATATACCCTGCATTAAATGCTGTGACAGTGCCAGTGTATATTTAAGAATTAAAAGCATGCAACTTGATATCGAATGCATTTCGCAAATCAAGTTCTACTGTATTGGAAAAAAACTTAAGTAGAATTATAGTAATTACAATTTGCTTGCTGTTGCTATAGAAATGCAAGTCTTTTACAAACTAATCAAATTACAACTTTTGTTTTGCTTCAAATTAGTTTTTGTAATTGTAATTTTAATTGTAAATATTTTTGTTAAATTAATAGTTTCACCCAAGAAGATAGTTTCCTTTTAATATCATTTTTACTACAGATTTGTTCGCGTTTGAAGTTGAATCTTTTGCAATGCCTTCTGGTTTATAGTACAACGTATATTCTGAGAAAGCACTCTTAAAGCTGGCTGCTGTCGCTCACCAATAATATACACAATGTCAATTAATAGAATAAATATCAAGAAGAAAAAAATCACGTCAGCATTAGTGGCAAACATGAAATGAGATTAATGTGGACAACATTTGACGTCTATTTTCGGTTTTCTCTTCTCTGTTCATCTCTATTGTTAGGGTTGCGCTAAGACCTGAGCGCAGTTAACGCCGTATTGGTGTTAAGGCGGCAACGACTAATACAAATGTCAAGCGATTAAGCCACAAAAAGGATCAAGCTGATTAGCAAAGGCTTAATCAAATGTGAAACATGTTGCAGTTCCTCCGAAACTAGGTGAAACTCTGCCTCTGAAGAAGAGGAATGGTGAATGGTGAATGGTGAAGGGAAGCCTGGAATATAACCAATCGATTTGTCGTTAATAATATGAGCCAAGCTCAGAGAGGCCTCACTGTTTATTTAATTTGTTGCTGCTGTCTGACAGCCGGTCGACAGCTAGCGGCATCCTATTTGCGAAGGGGGAATCTGCTGGGGCTTACTTTCACGGATTCGTGTGAGGCATTTTACCGTAGCAGGCTATTTGTATAACTCTCAATGCTGTGGCGTGTGCAGTTAAAGGATTTCGCCGTGGCAAATAACTTCACACATGTGTATAGATATATGTCTGTGTGTCTGTGTATGTGTATGTGTGTAAGCGGCTCTATCTGCACGTTGTTTATTTTTCTATGAGCTGCTTTTGTTTTTCTTTGCCACTGCCGCTGCCGCTGCCACTGCCGCATCCGCCGTTTGTTGCTTGATGCCTGCTGCCTGCTGCCTGCTGCCTGCTGCCTGCTGTCGTCTATTGTTGTTGTTGTTTTCTCATTTTATTTCACGTCGTCGTCTGTCGAAAGCAAAAGTGAGCTAATCTTATTGTTTTCACAAGAGCGCCGCGAACGCGCTGCTTTTGGTCCATGCTTCTACTAGCTAGCTTGTTGATCCTTTGAGTTATGCGGCAGGATGCCAGGCACTGCATCCCTTTCGCCGCCTTTTCGCTCCCTCCACCCAGGCAGTGTTTGCTTACACTCCAGTCGTTTGCCAATTTGATTGGTGACGCTCTGGCGTGCTGAAAATGGATTTAAATTACATTGTTTCACACACTCGTCTGAAGTACGTGAGCAAATTTGCGCGCAACAAGGGTAAAAGCAGCAGCAGCAGCAGCAGCAGCAGCAGAGGCATCAACAAAAAAAAGAGCAACATCAGTAGAAATAGCAACAATAACAACTGACATCTTATTTAACATGTGTCTGTGTGTTTGTAGTGACTTTTCAGCATCAATATTTTCATTGAATTGATTAGTTCGCATCTCTCGTTCAGAATGTTATTGCTGCCTAAAAGTATGCTACGTTTTATTTGCATGTGTGTATGCGTAATGTTTTCCTTTGGTATACTTGTGTTTGCTTAGTTTTAGGCTAGGGATAACGTTGGATTTGGCAATGGGACTCTTTTTTAACGTATTTATTTATGCAAAGTTTTTGGTAAGCGCTTTCAACGCATTTGCTGTAGCCGCCTATATTTGTGTTGGACGTAAATAAGACGCACACACACACATACACACAGACACACAAAGTTTACTGTGGTTGCGTCCTTAGCAGCACTCAGCAGCAATATGGTTTTTGTGTGGGTGGTTCGGTTGCAAACCCACTGGGGCAGACAGTCAGGCAAGCAGGCAGGCCAGTGGCCGCAAAATGTATGCGAGCAGCTCAAGGAGCGGTGGTGGCAGCAACCACGACAAAGTATGCAGTAATACATAATCCGCAGCTTAGCTTTAAAACTTAACTACACAAGTTCATAACTTGTGCAACCCCAATCCAGTCTCCAGCAACCCAAAAAATACAAAAATTGAGAAGCAAGCTGGCAACCGCACAAAAGTGGCAACTCTCAATGCTCACCTCGACATCCTTGTTGCACGCATGCGGGCGCAGAGAAAGTAACTAGAACTACTGTCAAGAAGCTGCCAGTCAGCCACCCGCCTGCTATTCTCACCCACTTGGCTCGCCACTTAAGCCAGCAACTTGCTACGGCTTGAGCCACTTTGAGCCGCAGCCAGGCAACGTGCCCAGTTTGTGAAGTGCATGTTGGCCTGGCCATGCGCTTTTCAAGTTTGCCCAAAAAAACAGATTCCGCTCGTAGATGGGTAGGTGAAAAATAGTGTGACATTGCAATGAAAATAAGCTCACACATCTATAGCACAATAATATTTATGCAGAGCGCTAAGTGAAAGCAGCGATAATATTTGGTTCTTTTTTTCTCGCCCTCAGTTTTTTGCTTGAGTTTTTTGTTTGCCTCCGCATCACGGCAACCATTTGCCGCCTTATTTCCTATGCAAAAAGTAAGAAATGAAGAAGAAAACAGGTAGCCTGTCCAGCATGGGCAGCCCTTTCCAAAATTGGCAGACAGCTCCTTTGTCGTGTCGCCTTTTTGCATAAATATTGTAAAAGTTTGCTTAAAAGCTTTTAGCTGCCATTTTTTGTTGTTTTTTTTTTTGCTGCCAGCTTATTCTTGCTGTGCAGAATTCTCGCGTCGATTCTCTAGCGAACTGACAAACGTTTTGACTTTCCATTAAATTTTCGTTGTGGCTTATAGTTATGATGGCACAAGTCCAGCGGGAACTGTCAAAATTTGAGCATTTAATATACGCGCAAATGCAAAGACGCACACGCACACACACACATATATATATATATATATATATATATATATATACACAAATCAACACACATGCACAGGCCACGCAATGGATCGATAATTGAGCTTATCAGCAGATTTGCTATTTTTGCTTATCAAAGCAGTTTAGTTTATCAGACTTATCATATGAAATTGTAACATTCTGCTGAGTTGGCCGCAGTCAGTTCAGTTTGTGTGTGTTTGTTTGTACTAATCAATGCCACAAGTCGGCCGCCCACAAGCCTAAACAACGACAACCTCAATAATAATAGACAATGCACAATTGACTCATTAACTGACTAAACCGCGACAAGGGAAAGCCAGCCACGACAGACACACACACACAGACATATAGACGCACACAATCACACACACACACAGACATATAGACGCACACAATCACACACACACAATCAAACACACACACACAGAACTGTTAGCAGCTGGTTGCGTTACCAACCAGAATTCTAAAGTAGCGACCCAGTTAAGTGCCACGTGGCAAGTGGCAAGATGCTTAACTCATTATCAGAAGGACATTAATATTGTACAATGTTTGGACGCAATTATCAATGCAGTCAATTTGCAATTGCCCACTTGACATTCACTCAATGTGCACAAAGTTTAACAGCGATAGAGATAGCGATGGATAGAGAAAAAGAGAGAGAGAGAGGGCGAATGAGCGAAAGCTGCAACGTTTGCTCTACAATTACATTACAATTTTTACACAATCAACGTCATCGTCATCGTCATCGTCTCATCGTAATAATAATCAGGCAAAGTGAAGTATCAAATTACAGTCATAGACTCCAAGCTGAACGGAATGGCAATCGAAGAAGCCACATCATCTTTAACTTCTACTGCTGTACACCCTCCCACACACACACAAACACACACAGGCACACACATTACCTATATAGATACATACGTGGGTAGGCATTCAGAGTAGACCTCACATAGCGCAATTCTAATCAATTTTTATTATTTTTATAAACCTGGCAGAAGTCAGCGCCCAAGGCGGCGGGCATAGTCGGAGAGCTGCGTTGCTTTTGGCTTTTGTTTCGTCTACGAGAATTTATCTAGCAAGAGGTAGCAAAAACAAATGGCACGCCTGGGGGGGATTGTGGCTCCACGTGTGTCTAGAACTTTTTTGTTTTTTTGTTTTTTTTTTTTTTGGCTGCTACTGCTGACAAACGCACAAAAAAAAACGCGTCGAGCTGTTAAGGAGCGGGCCGAGCTGCTAAGGACGGTCGAATGTGTTTACGTTATGATTTTCGAAATCAAAATTCAGCACGAATAGGAATAAATTTACTTCCGAATGTCATTAAATTGTTTTCCGATAGAACGTGTATATTTCACGCAAGAAGTTTTGCCGCTCAGCGTGCGGCCTGACAGCGTTCCTGCGGACCGACATGCTAGCGTCCTTGCGTCCTTGCGTCCCAATGCGATAGCATCCTGCCATTTTCACTCCGCACTTTGATTTCCTTTTATTATTACGGTACTTGATATTATTGATTTTGATTGAGATTTATGTTGCTGGGCGGGCCATGCTTCATCCTGTTGCCATTACATGTTGCTGCTTATACTGTTGCTGCTGCTCCTGTAAATATTTAGCATATTTTTGCCTAGTTGCCTGAAAAACTGAACGCTATGCATAAATTGTGCTGTTTTGTTGCATGCCAAGTTTTTTGATTAATGCTCAAACTTTTGCCATGTGCAGCGTTTAACTAATAAAACTTTGCAGCAAACGATTTTAGCCATCAATTTACTTAACAAATTTCTTCTCCCGTTTTTTGTTCTCTCTTCTAGCAAAACTCTTCGGTGGTGCAGAGCGACTATCGCATTCAATCGCCCGCCGGTGGTTCACCATTGCCGCTGTGCGCCGCTGCCAATGCGACCAGCAATAATGCCAACAACTCTGGCGACAGCAACTGCAGCACTGTGGCAATCTTGCAGAACAATACGAGCGCTGTTAATGCCTCAGCTGCCGGCAATAATACCAATGCAGCTGGCGGACCCAACACCGTGCTGCGCGTTATTGTCGAGACACTGATGTATCCCGTATCATTGGACATTTTGCATCAGATATTCCAGCGATTCGGCAAGGTCCTAAAGATCGTTACCTTCACCAAGAACAATTCATTCCAGGTAAATAATTTTGACTAAAATTACAATTGCCATTTATAAGTGCCATTATCTATATCGTCATTCAATCTAATCAATATGTATGCTTTTTAATAACAGGCTCTCATCCAATATCCGGATGCCCATTCAGCACAACAGGCCAAATCAATATTGGATGGCCAGAATATCTACAATGGCTGCTGCACTTTGCGCATTGACAACAGCAAATTGACCGCCTTGAATGTGAAATACAACAATGATAAGTCGCGAGACTTTACGAATCCGGCGCTGCCACCGGGCGAGCCGGGCGTCGATCTCATGCCCACCGCCGGCGGCCTAATGAATACCAATGATCTGCTGTTGATTGCTGCCCGCCAGCGCCCCTCACTAACAGGTGATAAAATAGGTAACACAAACGAAACAATTTCCTTCTATTATCGTTTTAATTTCTGTGCTTAAAATGCCGCCTGCTTACACACAAACACACATACATACATACACACAAACACACAAACACACAAACACACATACATACATACATACATACATACACATACATACATACATACAATGCTTTGATTTTCGACTTTTTGTCTTTTACACTCGCTATCGATTCGTTTAGAAACTAAGCCGCATGCAATTGTCATATAGCTGAACCTGTAAGCGAAACTTAACGCTCTTATGGCACTTATCTATCTATCTGTATGTTTCAGTCAACGGTCTGGGTGCACCCGGCGTGCTGCCGCCGTTCGCCTTGGGCCTGGGCACACCCCTCACCGGCGGCTACAGCAACGCCCTGCCCAATCTGGCCGCCTTCTCTCTGGCCAACAGTGGCGCCCTGCAAACAGCCGCGCCAGCGATGCGCGGCTACTCGAATGTGCTGCTCGTTTCGAATTTAAATGAGGAGGTAAGTGCTTTTCATTCACAACTCTCTAAGGTATACGAACATTTAAGTAGCGACCCCCCTCCCCCCTCCCACCAACAACAAATATGCCCACGTGCTAGCCATACTATCTATTTGCTCACAATTTATTGCAAAAGTACTCGTACATGATCTCTAATTAGTTTGCATTTCGTCTATGCATTTTTTCACAAAGCCGCATACTATTTATATTTATTTCCTATTTAAATTTCTCAATATTAAGTTTATGTTTGTATATTGTACATTTGAAAAGCGAGTACCTTTTCACAGATCATAGATTATTTTCCACTTTTGGTTATTGTTGTTAAAAAAAAAAAAGTGAATCAATCAAAAAATGACTATTTTATTACTGCTTAGCTGCTACTATTATTTTGTATTATTTCTCCTGTTTATTATCATTTATCATTTATGATTTATATTATTTTTAAAACATCTACAAGCAAAACTTTCGCTAACTGACGACAAACTTCTATTTTCTCTTTTTCTCTGTAGATGGTCACGCCTGATGCTCTATTTACCCTCTTTGGTACGTCTGCACAAAACAAAAACCAAATACCAAATACCATAAACCATATACATACTTTAATATACAAACTATATACTATATATACTTATATATGTAAATTGTTAACTTGTAACCGAGCCAACGTAGTCAATGGCTCAGCTAAGCAGAATGCAATTGAGCGAGGCAAATAACTAATATGCATCCAATCTTTAGTTGATCTTCTCCCTTCTACCACACTTGCTGCCTTGCTATAATTTGCCTTGCCTTGCCTTGCATCCCGTGTGGCTGAGCTATTGTCTCAGCTGTATGCCACAAACAAGTGGCAAACCTTGACCACTTTAAAAGTAGTTCACTTGATTATTTATTGAATTTAGACAAAAAAAAATCAAGCAGCTACCAAAATATCAACCCACTGGCATCGAGCCACACATTGTAGCTGCCGTTTCCTTATAGACTCTAACTCGAACTCGAACTCGAATCCGAACCCGAATTCTACTATTTACGTTTACTCTTTTTAAACGTAAACGTGTCTTGTTGTCGTACTTCCGTTTGAAATTTACGCCATTTACGTGCAATCAGGAAAAGTGCCATGAATTATTTATATATGTACATATTGAATAGACACCCGCACACAGAGCACACAGAAAACAATGTGGGTGCGGATGAAGAAACCGAACAATAGCATTGCAGAAATACACGACAAGCGGCCATCAAAATGTTGAAAATATTGAACAAAAACCTGTTCAAAAATACAAATTGTTTATGCAACAGAGAAAATTGTTAAGCCACATGACGTGCAACGTTGTCCAATCAGCTAACGCAGCAACAATAAGTTGTACGATTGGAAATAGTTACTCATGTCAAATAACAACCATTTTAATGTGATTCAATTTTGGAAGATCCTTTTCATTGAGTTGTAAATTTGAAATGGTTTAGACTGCTATCCCATTAGCTGAGGCAGCCCATCTTAAGAAGAGGCAACAGAATCGGTCCGAATTCTGTAAACGTTCTTATTTCATAGTGAATAAAAATGAACTATTCGATTTGTTGCTCCTTTATTTTATGAATGCCATGTAAGGAAAATAAAGCCAAACAATATATTTGTCATAACAACGTAGATATGCATTAAAAATGCATCTAAAAACATTTATATATATTTATTTAAAGCTTTTTGAATTGAAAAACATGAAGCTGCAATTGGAATAACTACAAATGGATTTCTAATAGCTTTTTGCCAGGGGCAGCAAATCCATCAGCTTGAAATTGAAATAGTTTTGCTGGTCGCAAATATCTCAGCATAATCTGCAGGTATTTGGTTGCACACGCAGCCAAAGATGAAGAGAAAGAGAAAGAGAGAGAGAGAGAGAGAGAGAGAGCGAGAGCGAGAGCGAGAGCGAGAGCGAGAGAGAGAGAGAGAGAGCGAGAGCGAGAGCGAGAGCGAGAGCGAGAGCGAGAAAGAGGTAGAGGGAGATGGGGAGAGTGAGGAGAGAGGGAGATAGTAACAGTTGCATATGCAGTCGCAGCCTTCTGCCATTTATCCTGTCATAAGTTGTGCTTACAAATTGTAAAACAATGAAAATGAAAATATATGCACTTGCATAAATCTACACAATCCACACACACACACACACGCACACTGATACACTCACACATACATATTGCATACGTATTAAAAAGGCATTCAGTGGCAAACGGGCAACAAGTGAAACCGCACTCAGGCACACACTTGCACGGCATCCTGTTGCTCCTTGGATGCTTGCCTGCCGTTGTCTGCGACATGCTCGTGTGCATGTAAAATTACATGAATTAAGTGTGCTCCACTCCGTGCCCCTCCACCCATGACCCCCTACGCTTGCCACACTTGCCCATTGTTACACAAGCATGCAGCGCGCTCTCTCTCTCTCTCTCTCTCTTTCAGCTCAGTTCAAATGCATACACATATATCCATATACACAGGACACATGCTTTAACATGGCGCTCATCCTGCCACAGCAACAAACCAACACTCACACACACTCACACACACACACGCATGCACACTCACTCGCTGGCTCGCACAACAAAAGATTGAGTGCGGAAGTGCATAGCTATAAAAATGTCCATTTATTTAGTTATCATTGCGCTTGTTGCTGTTGCCTTTGTGTGTGCGTGTGTGTGTGTGTGTGTTGTCTTTCCCCCTTGATCCTTTTTACCCTCTCATTGTCTGTATGCATATGTGTGTGTGTGTGTGCATTTTATACACTCGCACCCACACACAGTTTGCAGTTTTTGTTGCCTTTACAATTGAAATAAAATTTACTTGTGACTTTTCGTCGCTCGTTCTTTTTGGGGGTGGTTGAGTGGTTGAGTGGTTGGGCAACTCAATTGGTGGGTATTTGGGTGCGGTGTGGCTTGTATTGTCTCCTTGCTGGCTTTTTGTCGTATGTGGCATGTCTGTTTGCCAAATGAATTTAACTAACTTTGTAAAGTTAATGGGGTTTGCAGTTTGAATTGCTGCTCCAACTTTCCCCTGGTCGACAACGTTTTGTTTCATTGTTCAAATGTGTGTGTTCTTCGTGTGTGTGTGTGTTCGTATGTGTTTTGCTTGTTATACCATTTTATTACATTTGGACTTGACCTTTTACATGCGCTGCATATAACTCTCTCTCTCTGTCTCTCTCTCTCTGTCCCTGTCTCTTCCCTTGCCATCTCGCAATCTGTTTGTTTTATTTAATTACCAAAATACTTCGATTACAACGAATCGCAACGAGCTGCACAGTTTGTTAGCCACACATTATTATTGTTTTTGTTGTTATTATAGCTGCTGCCAAGTGTGGCGCATAATTGCAGTATAATGGATTTGTTGCTGCAACACAAAATGCTGTTGTTGCCGCTGCCCTCTGCTTTGCTGGATGGCATTTTTGTGCTGCAACAGCACAAAACGCACAAAACTTGGCAAGCCACACATACTGAAATGCATTTTTGTGCTGTAGCAGCAAACTTGCCTACCACACACACATACACACACACACAAACACACATATATATACACACACTTACTCGCACAACACTGTTAAGTCTGCTGCCGCCTTTGTCTCTGGTGACACAAAACGGTTCTTGTTGCGGCTTGTTTACCCACATAGACATGTGTTTTCTCTCTCTCTCTCTCTCTCTGTCTCTTTCTCTCTGTGTCTCTCTCTTTCTCTGTGTCTCTCACTCTCTGTGCGGCTCTTTGTTTGCATGAAAATGCATTTAATTTGAGTTTAAATACCCAAATATAAACTTTTGCCAAACAAACGCAACCACAGAGCGGGTGATGAGGGCAAAAACAAGGACTGCCTGTGGTTTAAGCTGCTTGTCTTTGTGTACAAGTGAATATATGAACACCACACATGTGCTCGTACATCGTCAAACGTATTCATTTGTGTGGTATTTATTTACAAATTGTTTTACATTCTGTCAGCATTTTGGTCTTATCGCTAATAAAGTAAACAAAAATTTGCCAAACGCATTTATTGCTGAGAAATGATTATTGCTCTGGATGGTTTCTGTTATTAACGTTCTCGTTATTGTTGTTATTGTTATTGCTAATGTGGTTGTTATTAGTGACTCTATATAATGCACATAAAGACAGTCTGACCGCATAGCACCAGACGGGATGGGTGGGTGGGTGGCGTCCCACAACCACTACATTGGAGGGCAGCTTAAAGCAACTGAGCCACAGTAAATCCTATCAGCAGCTCGTTAGCCACAGTTAAGACTAACTGCAACCAGCTACTGGCAGCAGTTGCCTTTCACTTGCCAGTTGCCAGTCGCCAGTTGGCAGCTGCCTGCAGTGCTAATAAAGCTTCGATTGCTGATTTAACGCCACCAGCGCTTGAACACTGAGTGGGAGAGAGAGTGAGATAGAAATAGAGATAGAGAGAGAGTAGTGGTATTGCGGGCAAAGCGAGCGAAGCGTAGCAGAAGCAGAACATTTTCAAATGTACGAGTATCATACGCCCCGTTGCACACAGCAAGCGATAGAGATGTCGATAAGCTGAGCGGACGGTCCTCTTAAGCGTCTTACTACTCACTACTCACGCTCACTCCGGAGCTGAGCTGAGGCTCATGGTCTGGCTATGACTCTGAATTGCGTGCCAATAGATTTAGATAAAGTCAGCAACAACGACGACATGAAAGCATTGGCGGACCAGGCCAGATAGGTCTGACTAGCATAAGCGAGCAATCAACTAAATGGCAGCGCTAAAATTTTATGTAATAACTTTTGAATTTCCAAGTAGCTGAAAGTGACGCAAAGCAACGCAACGCAACGCCATCGATGATGACGGCCCTGGCCAAGAGTGGGGCAGTGCCACTCGAGGCAAGTTGTACGACAAACGAGGAGATGACTGTCCTTACACACACACACACACACATACATACATACATATATTATATACACATATAGCGCCTTTTGTTATGTTAATGGCAGCAAGGAGCTGGGCGCACGTAACCACAATTTTCACACATGACGCGAACACCAATGTTTGACGGCCACGTTTAGGTGCCACATTTTGCACTTCAATCATGGCAACGTCTGTTGGCCTAGCTAACGTTTGTTGTCTGCTGCTGGCTGTTTTTTTGCTAGCTGCTCTTGGCTAAAAGCTGTTTGCATATCAAATAATAAAAGTGGCAAACGAAAAGCTCGCAACGCCCCCCGCAAACAGCGCACTTCAAACGCTAACCTTTAGATTGATCAAGCTTTGCCCAAAAAAAAAAAAAAAAAAAAAAAAAAAAAAAAAAGAATAATAAAAAAAGACTCACGCCTAAGGACAGCAGAGCAACCCTTTCTAAAGCAGACATTTTATTAGTTTTGACAGCGCTTTGTTGTTGCCCAGCCCACCCCAACCCAGCTCAGCCCCAACGGCTCAATCGAGCGACCCGGCAGCTGCCCTGCTCAATGCTACGATGACTATGACACGCTTTTTAGGCACTTGACACATGCCGTATGAAACCTGCCACTTGGGCTGTTAGCCATTCTAATAGAGCCTATTTATGGCATCAAAACTGCTGCCTACTTTTTTGGGGCGCTCGCATTTTCTTGACCCTCTTTTTTGCATTCACAATAAAAACTTAATCAGTCTGAAAATCGTCTAGTGGAACATATTGTTGTGAGTGTGTGCATGTGTGTGTGTGTGTGTGTGAGCATGTGTGTGTGTGTGTGTGTGTGTGTGTGTGTGTGTGCATATTGGTAATCGGCTTATGTAATTGTAATGGCGTGCTAAAAATTTATATCATTGCCGAAAATATTGTTGAAACGTGTTTAATTGAATTTTTATGAGCTCGCTGCGAAATGTTTGTGCGTGATTTTTGCTCGGCGTTCAAATAATTTCATAAAACTTTATATGCTACATTTGGCAAGAAGCCTGCCAGAGGTCGTGCTGTGTTGGGTGAATTTTTGATAAAGTGCCGTGACCGGAAAAAAAAAAGGGAAAAATATGTGCAAAAAATTTTAAACGAATATTTTCATAGTTTAACAGGTCTCGTTTAGCTGTTTAGCTGAAATTTTGGGTTGCACGTGCTACATGTGTGTGTGTGTGTGTGTGTGAGGATATGGTTTTAAAAATCAAGTGAAACACTCGCTAAACAGTTGCGTGATTTGTTGTTGATTGTTGGTTGTAGGTTTCCTTGCACATATATTTCATCAGTTGAGTTCAGTTCAGCACTCAGAATTTATAGGAACTCAACTAGATCAGCCCCAGCATTCACTCACTCAGCCATTACCAGTTTCCACGAAGTTTATACATATTCTATGGGGCCACAAGCCACAGATCATTTGCATTTAACAACGGATGACTGCGATATTTTTTCATCTAAAATGTACGCTCAAACATACGACTAATGGGCCGCCGGGGAATCAGCGAACGAGCCAGCGAACGAGCTAACGTCAGAAAGTATGCAAACATATTCAAAGTCAGCCGCATGTCTGTGCAAATATAGCTAAATCTTTTTACGATAATAAATTATTATAAAGTCTGGCTGACTGCCTGCCTGACTGGCTGGTTGGCTTGGCTTGTTGGCTGGTTGGCTGAGGGCGGTCTGCCTTCATATTCATGCCTGCAGCCACTTTACATGGCAACTGGCTACCGGCAAACAGCTACAGCCGCAGCAGTTGCTCACACGCCCCGTTGGACGGTAAGTTGTGATGCTGCTGTTGCCACTGCTACTGCTAATGCTGCTACTGCTGCTGCTGCTGCTGCTGCTGCTGCTGCTTCTGCTTCTGATGCTGGTGCATTGCTTGCCAGAATACTGACAGTCAATATGCTGCTTCACAGCCAATGCCTGGCAGATACGTACGTTGCTCGTTGGCATGGACCTGAGTCTGACTGGCTAACTTACTAGCTCGCTTGGATTGCTTTATTGCTGCAATTGTTGCTACTGCAAGCCAATTTGAAGCAAAAGAAATTTTTCGGTGTTTGGCATAAGTCAAGTTTCCGTTTTTTTTTTTTTTTCGTTTCGTTTCGTTTCTTTGGTGTGCTGTGCTGTGCAGTCAGCCAGTCGAGCAGTCAGTCGACTGTATAAAATGGATTTACTGCCAACTGTTGAACTATACGCCGTTCCCGCACTATTTACTACCTGCATTTCTATTGCTACTTTTGTAACTTGTTAGCGCTCCGCCCCCTCCGGCCCCTCCGCTACCTCCACCCTCCCTCTCACCACCACTCGCAGCCCTCTTTTACTGCCACTGCATTCAGCAAAGTCCTTTTTTTTTTCTCAGCTTTTAGTTTTTTTGGGGGAAGGGCTAGTTGAAAATTTACTTTTCGCATTATTCGATTTGTTGTCTTGGGCAACCGAGGGCGACTGCACTTTACATTGTTTGCATTGGGCGTATGCAGGGGCGGGCCGGAGGCGAGCAAGGTGGCAAGTGGGGCGTTGCTGTGACCTTTTAGCTCCCAACAACTATTTTTTATGCTTGATGGCAATTTGCGCCCTGCTGCAAATTTGCCGCTGATTGGCTACACACGGACTGCTGGACCTCTGTGCTGGCAGATGGAACGTTAAGGGCGAGCGTAGTAGTACCTAGTACCTACGAACCGGACAGCTGTCAAAGCCAAATCCAATGAGCAACGCAACGAAATCACTAGCCCAATGCTTTTGTCCAGCACTTTAAGTATCTTAAAGTTCGGCAAGGCCCAAGATGGCGCTAAGAGCACCAGCGACTGGACTCGTTGCATATTGCATAGTTTGCGGCGTCGCCGCGTAAGTAAAGCCATAAAATACAATTCAATAACGCGCTCAGCAGCGAAAACTTAGCAAACCACACCCATCACATGCGAACTTCACACTTACACCTTGTCTGACTGCAGTAAAATCAGCCGCGTGGTGCAGCCTTAAAAAGTATGCAGCCGGATATGAATGCGGAGCCAAAGTTGTAGCTCCAAAATGGCGGAGGTGGATATGGAGTGGCGCTGAAGCCGCTGGAGTCGGTCGTAAAAAATAGCTGGAGAAAACTTATTGAGCTAGTTATGAGTTTCGTACATGATACTAACGGCTCCGTCTTCCAGCAATAATACCTAGCAGCATCAGCCGCACCTGCGAGACTGCACCGCGCGAAAGGGTCGTTGGAGGGGGGTCGTTGGAGGTACAGCCATCTTCTTACACGTTATGGCTTTTTGGTGGCGTGTAAAACTTTCGTCCTCTGACGGCAGCAACATTTGCGCACTGCATAAAACGCTCGGAGCTGTCCGAATTTTGCTGGCCCGCCATTTGAATTGAGCGGCGCTTAAGTCGCGTCTTATGGCCCCGCTCTACTTTGTAGATTGCATCGCAAAAATGAGGATTGAGTAACATTGGCTCTGGCAACAAGTAAAGATATTTCGATACATGTTTTCATTAGATTCTCATCGCGGCAGCAGCTACAATGTGTGTGTGTGCAGAATGCCTCATTTTATATGTTATTGTTAAGTTTGCTTTGTACTTTACTTTAATAAACATAATCTTAACGGCATTGCAATCAACTGAGTTCAGTATTAATAATCTCCAAACATTTCGCAATTCACAGGTGTATACGGCGATGTGCAACGTGTAAAGATTTTGTACAACAAAAAGGACTCGGCCCTCATACAAATGGCAGAGCCGCAGCAAGCTTATTTGGGTAAGTCAAACATGCTGAAACCTTCAACCCACAGGACCACCCACTCGACCGACCGCGTGCCAGCGCAAAAGTAATGAAAAATCTGCGCTCGTTTGCGGCTGTAAGAGGCGCATCAGATAGTACAACAACAAAAATATAATATACAAAAAAAAGCCCGTAAGATTGCTCCAGTTGAGTTATCTCAACAAGTACATACCCTGTAGACAGTTTGATTCTTTCCATCTACATTTCTCATCATATTTTTTTTGATATGCCAGTAGGATAAAAAAGTGATCTGAATGGGAGATGGAAGATATGAAATTGATTTAAAATCAGACAGAAGATCACTTAAATCACTTTTAGACTGAAGAAGCCTCATAATTTTGGCTGTTACAAACAACTTTGTTAACCTTTATAGGTATAGAGGGTATACAAAAATAAAAAATAAAATGCAATGCAAGGAACGTCATCAGCTACGGCGCAACTGCAATTTGCAGCTTGTTTAATATGAAAAATTCCAGCAACATGAAATTCCAATCTCCGCATACCTTTGGCATCCGGTACAGCGTATTGTTCTTGCTGTTTTTGCAGCTGCAAATTCAACAAACAAAATGTATTAATAACAAAAATTGTTAAAACAAGAGAAATGGCGTTATACATATATATATATATATATATATATATACTATTTTAAAGAGTAGTAAAGCATAGCGACGAGAAGCGAAAGGGCAAGTCGAGCCGAGAGATTCGGTTGGCTGGCCGTGCGCATAAATGAAATTTTATAAGCGCTTTATTACCAGCGCCTGTCCAACACCTGGTCCTGTTGCTTCTCCGCCCGATTGCCGTACAGTGCCTTGTCCCAGTGGCTGGGGTCATCCCTGGGGGCAACAAGAGGCTGACCCATGCCAGCTCGTATTCGGCGCTTGCTCAGCGGGACATGCCAATCATTTTATTGCATTTATTTGTGTGCACTTTGCCATTGTCAGGTTGCCGACGACGTCCATCCCATCCATTCCCTCGCATCCCATCCACCCCTCTTCCCTTTGGCAGTTTGTGTGCGCATTAAATGAAATGAAAATCGCCGCGCATTGCGAGGCGTTAAGAGCAGCGAACCGACGTGCCAAATTCCACTTTATTACAAAACACAAAGACAAAAAAAAAACAAAAAAAAAAGAAAAGAATATCAGGAAAAACAAGCAGAGCTTCTGACAGCGACACCTTTTCAATTTCAATTTGGTTTTATTCCATTTAATACTTCGACAAGCAATGGCCAAAGAGAGTCTCCTCTCTGTAGGAGATTGGAGATTGGTCAGTAGCTCATCTGAGAAATTACTTTAAATCTATCAAATTTGCGCCCCGCTGCCAACGCTTAATTAACAATTAATCAGTCCCTTAAGCATTTGCAGTGTGAGAGAATGTTTTGGTCATGCACAGCATGATGCATCGACGACAGTCTTTGCATTATTAGCTGCTTATTGCGATATGGCGATGCGCTGCCATCTGCCGTATGCCATATGCCTCACTTTAAGCCGCTTGAGGGCAACCAAAATACAGATGCAAATTAATCAGTAATACTTTCGAAAAAACGTTGGCAGTTTTCCGCACATACAGAAGTCATTGATATTAGTAAAGTTTAAATTAATATAATTAGTGCAATGAATGCATTTCGCATGAACAACAACAAAAATAACATTTAGCACTGAATGTTTAAATGGTGAACGGAAATTGTCAGCAAATTATGCGCCTGGCAGCTGGCCGGCCAACATTTATGTATATCCACTGCAAAAGTTAATGCCATCCGCATATTTTTTCACAATTTTAATGGTTTTTATTTGAGAAAACCTATTCGAAAAAATAAATGGTTAACCAACACGCGCAGTAGAATTCACATTGGCTCTGATGACCTGTTAAAAATATGCTTTGTTCTTAACTCGATTAATTTTTTGCAATTACCTTTATGCAAACAAGTTGCTAATTTTTTTGTTTTATTTTTTGTACTATTTTATGCGAAAAAGCATTCCAACTTTGAGCTTTGAATAATGCTTAATTAGTGCCATAAATGCTTTGTCTCAACTCTGCCTCACTTCTTTGTTTCTCATTATTTACGTTTTGTGCAGTTTCATTAGTTTTTTTTTTAAATAGCTTGCTAATCAGCTGCATATTTTATTCTACATCCAGATTTTTTTAATTGAAGTTCTCAGTGAGTTGACAACAGTGGCATGCCACAGCACGTGATGCAACTGATGGAACTCTAGCAGACATGCCTCCACCAAAAGTCACGCAACAAACCAAAATTATTCGACAAGCAAATTATTGTACAACCAATGCATATACACTCGCACACTCGCACACACACAACAAGTATATACATCCATTTGCTGCTGGTATGTGGAAATATTAATGGCGCTGCGTCAACATATAGACTACTAATGTGCCGCGAGGGCTGCCAAATGGCAAACACTTCCGGCTAAGTTCGACTACGGCCAGTGTTCTGTTCCTCCTCTACAGTCCAACCGTCCGTCCGTCTGTCCGTCCATCCTTCCGTCCGTCCATCCTTCCGTCCGTCCATCCATTTGTGCAGGTGGAGTCCGCTGCTAGCACTGTGTGTATATGTGTGTGTGTGTGCAGGAGGTGTGTTTTTGGGTGTTGGCTGTTGGTCGGTGAGTGCGCACTTATGCACTCATAAAATATTAACAAATTCATTCGTTACTTTGCCCAAAAACTCTCGGAACTCCAACTGGCAGAACAAAGACGATTACCGAACCCGGACCGGCCCAGTCTATTACCCGGGCAGCAGATGTCCTATAACACCCCACCCCACCCCTCCCCACACCATCCCCCTCCCCCTTCCCGCGCCCAACTGCCACCCAATCTGGCTCTTCATACCCCATGCATATAAAAGTGTCTCGCAAGAGGACTATGCGGTGTTTGTTGTTGCGCAAAAAATACGGTTACAATTGCACACTCGGCATACGAATTACAGCGTAAAGGCGAAAAAACTTGGGTTTTTTTTCTGCTTTTTTTTTTTGTAAATGAAGTCAGCAGAGAACACACACACACAGCGACTAGAGTAGTACGAGCCAGACAGGCAGGACCCAACTCGGACTAAACAAAGTGCGACAGCAATCAAGAGCCAAAGCCAAAGCGCAAATAGACAAAAACACTCACACACAATGAAAAAACAATAAGCACTGGGCGGGCTTCGGTGCTCCTCTCTTGCGGACCAGCTTGAGGTGTTTGCCTGTGTATGTCAATGGATGTGTGTGTGTGTGTGTGTGTGTGTGTGTGTTGTGTGTGGGAAATATTATAATGGGCTCTTCGGCCAGGCAATAGGTGTTGGTGTTGGTGTTGGCGACGATGTCGACATTGTGCAAATGCTGTTTCTCCAGCAACTGCTGGATGCGCGCCATTTGTTGTCTGCCGTGCCGGGATTAAGTTTTTGCGCAACTTATTACAAACTATAGACACAACTCTCATATAAATTTATAGGCACACGCACAGCTGCCGCCCACTGTCGTATGGCTCTAGCTCCAGCTCCAGCTCCAGCTCCTGTTGCTGCTGCTGCTGCTGCTGCTGCTGTTTGTTGTTATCTGGGAAATTTTGCTACACAAATTACTACAAAATATTTTGCGTACGCATAACGGCATTTACAATAAAAACAAACAAACAAACACACACACACACACACACACTCGCACACATATGTCCATATGTGTGCTTAATATATGCATGTGTTTGTTTGTGTGTTCATAGATTATGGCTCGATAAGGCAACTTGTCTGAAGAGTTTTGATAAAGTTTTGCGTTAAGTGACTCACTGAATGACTTTGCGCCCAGCGCTATGTGACTCAAATTAATTATGTAGTGTTTAGGCCAGCAAAGTTTTTTGACGAACAGTCTTCCTACGAATGCGATAGTAACAATATTATGACAATCATACTACAACTTGAATAACTTAGCTGGTGTTATCAATCAATCGCACCGAAGTCAAGAATTCACTTAGATCTCATGCGATAACTGAGATGTGACTGCTGCATCATTATTATTATTACTTCGCATTGCTTGCTTAAGAGACTTAACCCATTTTATACACTCATAAACCCCCCCCCCCCAACAGGCACATCTACAAGTCATTTTGAGGTTTTAGGTCGACGTTACTAAGTCATTTTTTTTTTTTTGATCCTACGGGTCTTATACGGTGCTCAGCTGTGCGTGCACTCTTTATATACATATATATTATACTTATATTTTTTGTTTTGTTTTTTCTTTTTGCCTTGTGAGTTAATAATGATTCGTTGTTGTTGTTGTTGTTGTCGTTGTCCTTCCACTGCTGCCACTGGTCAGGCTGGTAATTAAAACTTTAAGATACTTTTTGAGCTGGGGCCCTTGGCCCAAAGCCACGAGAGCCACCACGAGCACAGCTGCAGCACATTTTCAAAAGGCGCTGAGATGATAGGCAAAGTTGGTCCCAACATTTTTGGATAGCAGAGCAGAGCAGAGCAGAGTAGAGCTAAGCACAGTCTCTTTTGGCTGCACATTAATCTTTATTACAAGTGTTTGTCATATTATATACACGACGCATGTGGCAAAATGGCAGAAGCGTTTGTCACTGCTGATGCTGCTGCTGCTGCTGCTGCTGCTGCTGCTGCTGCTGCTGCTCGGCTGGCCTTATGTCCTGTTTGTCCCGTTTTCACGTTGTCCTTTGCCGACTGCCTTTTATTTTACAATTTATTATATTTTCAAGCCTTATTTTTTTGTAAAATCATTTAATCCATTAGGCAAACAATAAACGGCTGAGTAAGCATATTATTTCACAATAAAACATAAGCAACTTTACACGATGCCATCCCATCCTTTGCACGCACTTCCCTAGCCCTCCCTCCCCCACTGCCTGACAACTGCGCAAAATGATAAAAAATCTTATATAATTTATTAAAATAATGCAAAAAAAAAAGAAGGAAAACAGAAAAGGGACAAGTGCTTGAATGAACAAAGTCCCAGCGTGACTTTACAACAAATTGAATAAAAATGTAATCGAAATTGAAATCGCATTCGCATTCGTAATCGTAATCGTAATCGTAATCGTAATCGAAAACGAATATGAACACAGCAACAATGTTTACTTCGCTTAACTGGGTATGTTGTGCAGCAGTTGTCTATTCCGATCTGAGCCGCAGGTGTTATGACTATTGCGAGTATGATAGAAATAAACGATGGAAGCCACCCCTCGATGGGAGTTCAGAGTTGCCAGATACAAATAAAAAAGTAAAATAAAATAAAATAACGAAACTGAAACTGAAACAGGAGCAAACTTTTGTGGGCAAATGCATTTTATAGCGAGTCATTTGCTTGTAAATCACCAAAGGCAGACGACATTGATAAAGTTGCAGTTACATTTTAGTATGTAAATATTTGCCTGCACTTATTGCTGACTTTCCAGTCCGTATGTGAGTGTAGGTGTAGGTGAGTCAATGTAATTTTATTGCTTGTACAGCAGCACATATATAGTCGTGTACACAGCATAGTAAATTGCATCTACACACATGTGAACAACATCTACAATCTACAGTAACAACAACAACAACAACAACAGCAGCAACAGCAACAAGAAAACATGAACAAATATTCTATCACCCACACGAGATGAATGAGCTTTCGAGGCAAAAGTTTTCCACTAAATTCATGAATTACCATTCGCTTCAACGTTTTTAACATTGTGTTTTTCTATTATTTTGTATTTTTTTTTTTCTTTTTACAGCCATGTCTCACCTTGATAAATTACGTTTATGGGGCAAGCCAATACGTGTCATGGCCAGCAAACATCAGGCCGTGCAGCTACCCAAGGAAGGGCAGCCGGACGCGGGCCTCACACGTGACTACTCCCAGAATCCGTTGCATCGTTTCAAAAAGCCCGGCAGCAAGAACTATCAAAACATCTACCCGCCATCGGCGACACTGCATTTAAGTAACATTCCGTGAGTATCCATTCTTCTCCACTACCAGCTAGCCATGAGCTACAAGCTACGAGCTACGAGCCTCGTGCTTCGAGGATTCGAGTCTAGCGTTTAAAGGCGTCCTGCAATAGATACGCGTGCACAGCTGGAGTTGGTTTTCCATCAGCAGCGCCACGCGGGCAATTACAATTACCGTTATGAGCAGCAGCATCGAAACTGAAACCCCAAGTCCCAAACTCAGTCAGAGCCCCCAATTCCAGCTCCAGCTACAGTCATAGCCATTGTCAGAAGCAAACACCCCGCGTCGCTTTGTCTGCCAAATATGACAAAGCGCCCCGCAAGGTTTTTGTGTGGGGATGGCGGCTGTCGTTTGAATTTATGTGCTTTTTGCCAAGCCTGTAGCCTGTATATATATTTTTGGCCTGCCTGCTGTTTCGGTGTTCTGCTTATGCGATATCTATAGACGCACAGCATGCCAATTTAAATCGATAGGTGTTAATTTACGCTAACGAATATTATTTCTGTCTTCGCAACTCACAGCTCATCCTGCACCGAGGATGACATCAAAGAAGCCTTCACCTCCAATAATTTTGAAGTCAAAGCATTCAAGTTTTTCCCGTAAGTCGACTAATACAAATACTTGTCAATTGTAGATTCAAAAAAATGTTTAATTATTTATTGCATTGCAATGCACTTACAGTAAGGACCGCAAGATGGCGCTGCTGCAGCTGTCGTCGGTGGAGGAGGCTGTGCTGGCACTAATCAAAATGCACAACCATCAGCTGTCCGAGTCCAACCATTTGCGCGTGAGCTTCTCCAAGTCGAACATCTAGAATCCGACCCGTAGTCAGGTTCAATGAACTTGACTAAGTGCCAACAGCACCTATGCATTACGGCAGCAGTTCTTTTGGCAGCAACAGATACAATCTATAATTCGTAGTACAAGCGGCGTGCCGGGCAATCGCCATCACACCCACTTCAATTGAGAAGCGTACCCAACCAACCAACCAACCAACCAATTCAATTCAATTCAACTCAACCCATCAAACCCAAATCAAACAACAGCAGCAACAATCGAAGCAAGAGCTCTAGCTACTTATATACAAGCAACAATTTCAATCTATCATTACTGTTTCCATAACATAACAATACGCAAAAGTCTATCATAACACTAACAATGCAGAAATTCTAAAACTTAATTAACAACAAGCAAAACTATAAAATTAATTATTACAAATGGAGATTACAATTTCAAATGGAAGGAGGCAGAAAGAGAAAGAGAAACCGAAACAGAAACACAACAAAACAGCCCACTAAACAATCAGCGACGTCGTATAATCATAAGCTTAAAGTTAAAACTATATGTAGTCTATAAGTAAGTTGCATTGCAAAAAGAAGGAGTAAAACAAAAACAACAAAAAAAACAAACAAACAAACAATTATATTAAATTAAATTTAAGTGCACTGTACTGTGTTTTGGTTTTAAAAAACAGCAGAAAGTCAAAACAAAGAATGCAAACAAAAAAAAAATAAAATAAAATAAAAAATAAAATAAAATAAAGAAATATATATAAACAATTTATGTTAAACCATGGAGTAAGCAAAAGAGAAAATTTTATTATGTACGAGTATTTACTGTTATTATATTTTAAGTGATTGAAACTTTGATTGATAACTCTAATTTTTACAAAAATTAAATGAACTTAAATTGCATGAGGGCATTTAAGCAGTTTTTAACCCATTTTCATTTTGTTAGCGGTACGAGTAATGTTAAAAGTAAATCTCAACAACAAAAAAACAAAGCAAAACAAAACAAAACAAAAACTATTCATTGTGCACACTGACTCTTTAAGTGTAATTGCAGCCAAGTAAAAAAAAAAAAAGGCGCTGAAATGTATTAAATTTAAATTTAAATTAAATAAAGCAACTATTGGGTGCACGAAGAGAAACCCCCATTATACATTTAGTGCGTCTGTTCGTTTAGCATTAAACAAATAAATAAATAAACAAAAGTAATAACTTTTAAGGAAAGATAAAACAAAAAAAAACAAAAAACAAGAAGAAATCAAAGCAAAATGCGTACGTAAAACCTTCTGTGTGTGTGTATATGTGAATGTTGTTAAATTAGCAAAATATATATACACAAAAAGAAAATGAAAAGAAAGAAATATATACTGTATAATGGATATACATAATTATGCATACATCTAAGTATATATATATTGAACTACAACAAAAACATGAAACAGGAAATAAAACAAATTTTAAGCTACGAAAGTAAAATCTCAAAAATCTTAATTATATTTAGACCTAAGCATACCGATATGAAAGACATATAAGTGTTTTTAGCAAAACAAATACAAAACAAACAAAAAGAAAAAGAAAAAAAACTCAATGATTTTTTGATAATTTTACAAAAACCGCACACAACCATAAAAACACACACAGAAAAACAGACAGGCACAACTAACTATACACACATCAATGTTTATATATATTTAGAAAGTGAAATTATTTATACGTTGGCGCAAAAGAACAAGAACAAAACAAAACAAAAACAAAAACAAAAACAAAAAAATAAAACAAAAAGAAAAAGAAAGCGAAAATAAAAAACAAAATAATTAATAAACTAATTGTAACTGTAACTGAATGATATGGATTTAGATTTTAAGCATAAGTAGCAGTGATCGTAATTTAAAATTAACAATTAACAGAAATGGTAAATTTTGAAACATAAAAAACGTGTACGAAAAGCAACAGTAAAATATTGTATAATGTATAATTATATAACATACGGTATTTACAGTTATCGAACAAGTCGCAAGCAGCAGCTGCTATTTACATATACATACATACAAACATACATATTATTGGTAAAGTATAGTATGGTAAAACTATGGACACGTTCGCAACAAATCGGAGTTGCTTTGCGACTCGACAACAAAAGCGATAGCAAAAAAAAAAACAAAAAAAACAAAACAAAACAAACAAAAAACAAACATACAAAACTTAACTATAACACATTTCTCATGCAACTCAAATGCTTAAAGTACATTTTAAAACCAACTCTAGTGTTTCATGTATACATTCTATCCTAATCTTAACTAATCTAAATACTAACTAATTAACTTATTATACATATGCTCTATGTCTATGCCTATGTCTATGTCTACTATACAGATACATATATATATACCTATATATATATATATATATACACGTTTTGTTAGCGCATCGATACAAGGTAAAGAGAGATAAACATATATATATATAAATATATATATATATATATATATATATATATAGAAACCCACGACTGCTAGAATTTCAAATGAGAACTCTTGACAAATCAAAAAATTTCATACAAGTATTTCAAAAACTATAACAATTACTTACAAAACAACCGAAAATCAAGCAAAACAGAACAAGAATATTAACAAAGCTAAAATATGTGAAAAGTTGATTCGTAAAATATTTATGTGTTTTGTAAATCGATGTGAATACACACAGAGCCACATACAAGGATACACACACAAAGACACATAGACATACACAATTACACAGATATCCATATTCTCATATTCACATTCACATTCAGATTCAGATTCAGATACACACTTACAATCGCAATCAATCCAAATGCATTATAAAAGGTGGCAGAGCAACAAAGCAAAGCGTAATCAAATATTTAGCCCAACGATAATATACACACATACTTACATAGAAACAATTTGCGCAACAGCGTGTATATGTTGATAATGAATAAGGACACACCGAGAAAAGCAGCATGCGAATTAATAGAACTATATACATACAAAAACGAAAACAAAAACAAAAGCAAAAACAAAAGCAAAAACAAAAGCAAAAACAAAACTTACATAATTAGTACATACATTCATCATAATGAGTGCAAAATACGCAATGCAGCTATTTGACGAAGAAAAAAAAACACTAAAAGTATTACTTTATCATGTAGAGAAAAAAAATACACAGCAACTGGATACATAGTTTACAAGTACATTGAAGAATTTAATAATTAAAAATTTATCAGATAAATAATTACATTTAAAAAGAACAAAAAAACAAAATAAAAATCGAAGCCTGCTCGAGGCAATAGTTGGAATGCAGAGCAACCTCATTTAGCTTTGTGTTCGACATGCGCCTACTACGGGACTTGTGGTGGATTCAGAAGGCAAACAGTTGCATACACTAAAACAAAAAATATATACATATTTATAAAGAAAAAAACATATATAAGTAAATACAAATAAAAGCATAGCAAACAGATATAAGTTGTACATTTCGAGCTGCAAAAACGAGATTTTACCAAAATGCAAATTGAAGCATAATAAATTCAAGACTAAGTAAATATGAATTACAAAATACATATGCTACCATACATGCATAAATACATGCGCACATGTATGAGATTATGGATGATTTTTCGTTGTGCAACACGCTCGTTCGAAGCTGAAACCCACGCATGCCACATTACCTACATGCTGCATGCATGTACTTGATGTAATCGTAGCTATAAATCTATGCATAATTGTATTGACGAAGCAGCAGCAAATACTAAAATAGTGAAAATGTCGCAAGGGTATATATAAACTAAAACGGAACCGATGGCGATCACATTTTGTTGAAATTAAATCGAATCGCATGCGCAACATATACTTATACATACACACATATACATATAACATCAACAGAAACATATCAACAATATTTGTCAAGCGAGTACGAGTAGTTGATTTTAAATACACACATTTTATGGATTCACAAACAAACCAACAAACCAACAAACAAACAAACAATCGAACAAACTCCCCCAAATGCCTCAACTATTTCGTTCTGAGCAGTCACACACAACAGCTTCCCGATCCACAGTTTTGTAGAGAAAGGAACAGAGTATCGAGTAAATCGAGCGTATAAATAGCGTTGAAATGAAGCTTTTGGTATTAAGAGCGACAGCATTAGAAATAAGATGTATCAGAAATGCAGTAAAATCGCAAGTGTTACAAAATGAAAGCAAAACGAAATTATTTTAAGCAAACGGACCGGAACCGGAGTGCGTTGCAGATATCGTCGTCGTCGTAGACAGTGAGTCATAGAAGAAAGCATAGAGAATTTGTTAAATATTTTGCCAACGGAGAAAGACAAAAACTAATTATTAATTTTATATAGTTACAGTATACTTTTTTAAGAAGTTTATTTCAAGTGTTTTTGGTACAATATTTTATAGATTTTATAGATTTGTGTGCTCATTATCAAGTATTTTTAGTAGCATAAATTTTGTGTGTGTGGTTTTTAGCAAAAGTGCATGAAATTCGAATGAAATGAAAATTGTTGTTGCGTTTGTTTTGTATAAGAAGTTTTTTCTTGTTTCATTTTGGCAGTTAGACGAACGCATACAACATATATATAATATTATATATATATACTTATATATAAACATACATACATACATATATAGCTAGCGAAATCTGTGTTTTACTTGCTTCTTTGATATTGAATTGTTTCTTGTACATTTGAGTTCAGTTTTAAAAATTGAAACACACTACATGGAAAACAACAAGCATACAAGTTTAAAACAGAAGACAGAAGTTCCTACTTTTTAGTGAAATGATAAATAAGAGCTAAAAACAGAAACTAACAAGACAATTTGCAGCAGTGAATTAAATATACATTTACATATACATGAATAATAATGATCACATTTTAACATTCGTTTACCTTAACAATTGCCTACTTTGCTTTACTTTTCTTTCCTTATCCTTGGTATGTCTATAAATTTTGTGCGCGGATGTCAAAAATTATGGCAAAAATTCAACTAGGGTCCAAGTTTTAAATATAATCAATTATCTTAAAGAACATACATATTTAAAAGAACTCCAACAAAATAGGCTTATGACCTGCCAATTTTGTTGATCTAATGGTACCCAATATTCGAGATCGATAAATCTAAAATACAAAAAGAAAATGAAATTAAAACTGAAACTGTAAAACCTACAAAAATAAATGCACTCTCGCTATTTCTCAGGCACGCGCTCATATACTTACATAAATCGCAGATTTTACAGATATTGCCAAGAAGCTTCAAAACATGTATCCTTGATTCTATATTGCTTAACTAACCAAAACTTCAAAATAAAACACGCGAAACAATCAAAATCGAACTTGAAACATTTGTTAAAAAGATTTTTTAAATTTACACCAAGATAAACACTTTTAAACATTTGTG